CTATGCAGCTTGGATTTGTAGCAATCCTGCTGTCTCAGCTTCCCCAGTGCAGGGATCATAGGCATGAGCCACCATGCCTGGCTTTGGTGGCTGGCACAGCATGCGGCACTGGGGATCAAACCTGGGTCCTTGCACTTGCCAGGTAGGCACTTAGACCGCCATGCTGTCTCCCCAGCCCCTGTCTCAGAATTTAAAAAGGGCTGTGGATGTAACTCATTGGTAGACTGTCCCTGGGTTCACTCTCCACTAGCAGGTGATGGCAACAACAATAATAAAAGTAAAAAGTTGTATTACTTAGGTTGGAAAATTTAGCTGGACAGTGTCTGAACTGGCAGGGCTGAGGGATCCATGGTGGGGTTCTGCAGGTGGCCTGTGCCCTCTCACACCGTCTGCTGTGCACAGTTGCACAGACCTTCTTTCCTGGCCCACAGGCAGAGGGGTAAGCCGAGCCTGCAGTAGTTGTTCAAAGGTGTGGTAGTGGGGGCAGCCTCTGTTCCTGGGGTGTCAGTGAATAAATATGGGGATACCTCACCACATGGAGCTTTCTGCAGCCACTAAGAGCAGCAGACTGGATGTTCCCAGCTTGGCAAGCACCACTCTGCAGGATGATAGCTAAGAAAACAAAATAAGAAACAAAATAATACGTACATTATACGTATGCCACTTACATACATTAAAAACGTGAAACAGATAATCCAATAGGAAATGAGCCAGTGACATGAAAAGACGCGATGAGAAATGATATATGGGTAGCAAGTGCCTGGAAAGGTGTTCAGCATCACTGACCATCAGTGAGATGCAAAATAAAATTACAGCAACCCTGGGGGCTGGTGAGATGGCTCAGTGGTCTAAAGCACCTACTTAGAACAAGCTTAGCAAAGCACAGGGACCACGGTTCAATCCCGCAGCGCCACATGCCAGCCAGCCCCGCCCCCAGGCGGGCTAAGCTGGCCACACACACACATACACACACACACACACACACACACACACACACACAAATGAATAAATAAATTAAAAAAAAAATTACAGCAACCCTGGTGTAGTGGTGCACGCCTGCAATTCCACCAAGCATTCAAGGTCAGCCTGGGCTACATAGTGAGTTTAAGGCCACCCTCGCTACATAGCAAGACCTCATCTCCAAAAGCCAAAATAAGTATCTATTCCCAAACATTGAAACAAACAAACAAACAAACAGGTATGATGGTACATGTCTGTTGTTCCACTTACTCCGGAAGCTGAGGATCACTTAAAAAAACCCAAAGAACTACCAGACATGGTGGTGCATGCCTGTAATGCCAGCACTTGGGAGGATTAACATGAGTCCAAGGGGCTGGAGAGATGGCTCAGTAGAACAAGCGCTTCCCTGGCAAGCTCAAGGGCCTGAGTTCAATCCCTGGTTCCACCAAACAAACAAACAAACAAACAAACAAAAAACATGAGTCCAAGGCTAGCCTGGCTACACAGTGAAACCCTGTCTCAAAAAAAAAAAAAAAAGGAGGAAGAGGAGGAGGAGGAGGAGGAGGAGGAAGAGGAGGAGGAGGCAGAGGAAGAGGAGGAGGAAGAGGAGGAGGAGGAGGAAGAAGAAGAAGAAGACGACGACGACGACGACGATGACGACGACGAAGAAAAAGAAGAAGTCAAGTGTGGTGGCATACACCTGTAAGCCCAGCACTTTGGAGGCTGAGGCAAGAGGATTGCTGCTAGTTTAAGGCCACCCTAGCTACATAGCAAGACCAGCCTGGGCTACAAAGTGAGCTCAAGGCCAGCCTAGACTACATAATGAGATCCTGCCTCAAAAAGACATAAAATAAAAATAAATAAAATAAAAAACAACTCACAAAAAAGAAATACATGTACTTCAAGGGTATTATGGTGGGCGAAGGCAGAGGTGATCTCAAAGGGTTACCCACTATGTGATTCACTGCACATAACTTGTGTGTGTGTGTGTGTGTGTGTGTGTGTGTGTGTGTG